AAAGGGGTAGTTAAATTCAAGAGGCTAGGAGTCAGGTTATAACAGGAATGATCTCTGCTGTATTATCTCCCCAGGGAACATGTGACGGTGTGCGAGGATACTTCCACCAGGACTGTGTCACTGTCAAGCCCAACGAATCTTAAATCCAATCACATTGCAGTTTTGAAAACAGTTTTTTATTTCTCCTTTTTCATATATTTCTCGAGGATGCCCGAGACACTTCGTACATATCTGCCCTGAACCCCTGATTAATCTACAACGTGGAGTCCGTCTTAACTAACCCTTCAAGTCCCATCAATTTTCTCTTAACAATATGGAATTGCTTTGATCCTTTATAAATTCTCACCTTATTTTAAAAGAAAATGCATGGAGAACAGTGGGGAGAATTTCTATGTGGATATTGGGGCTTAAAGGGTTAATTTATTAGCGACCAATTTCGCAAGCATAACAAAAGATCCCAAACCTGCGATGACACATTGACATGTAGAAGAATTCTGTCGGATCGTAGCTTGGAAATGTAACCGATCTGCGTCACACGAAAACGTGTTTTTATCAGCTGGGTTTTTAAGTCAATTTACCACCAAAAGAAGCTGTGATGTTCAGAGTGCCAGCCGTCAGTCAGGGCGAAACAAGAAGATTGTGTTCTGGGTGGGTTGTGTGTGGCGAGGGCCCGCAATTACAGAAACATTTTCAGCTATATAACAACTGACGGAAAGCAAACCTGACACAATCTACAATTTCCTGATTTTTTTCTGACAAAGGGCTAGAGCTCGAAATCTCAGCTTTTCAACGATCTTTCTTTGGTAAATTGGCTTGAACAACTCAATTTTGGCGATCGTAGGTAGGGTCAGCGTCATAAGCGACACACGCCGCGGATAAACCACGCAGGCATGCTGCAGAAATGGTAGCCAAATAAACAGGTTTACAAAGGCTTCCAGTTTAAATCCTGTGGCAGTTAACAACGCAATTGGACTCCCTTACACTCGATAGTAATTATCCGGTGATAGCGCTATCTAATTGTAGGGCCCCTGCGATCAGTTCAGATCAGTTCAGTTCTTTTTTTATACAGGGGAAAATTCGATACCATCGCTGACCACTCTTAGTAAAATTGGTTGGGACGTAGCTAACAATACGAACGATTGCATCACTTTCTAAGCTAACAACAACGCAAAATAAAACGAGACATTTATTGAACATACTTTACGACTAAGGAATGAAACTATGGCGTTAGATGTACATTGTATAAAAAGGCCGGTCATCACAGAGGGCGGTTGTTTCAAGAATTACGGTCTTCACAAAAGACCTTGACGACTGAGATCCTCAAACGTTCGCTTGTTAACAACATTTCCAAGAGAATCTTCATACTCTTCCTGCAAACGAACAATAATGACAACAGTTTAACTTATGTTGCATGCAGCTATATTGCACAACAAATGCTGAACAACAAACGCTCGACGATGTTAAACAGTGTC